CGACGCGTCCCCCGCTCACGGCTCGGAGACGCTCTTGATCGTTACCTGGAGATCCGCCTGGCTCTACTGAGACACTGATATACAGCCCTCGCAGGAGCTGTCGAACCTGGTGGTGAATGAGAGCGAGAATTGCCGTCGCTGGCGATTATTCGCTCCGTATTGGGGGTCTTGGAGTTTGGCCGAACGAACGGCTGCGGCGAACGTTCCACTTTTTGTTTCGCGTCGTCGGGTTGACGTGTTTCGATTCCCATTTCACCGATCAAGTCAACTACCTCGTGACAATCTCGCTCTTCTGACTGTCGTTGTTCTTTATTTGGTGATGTTCTCGTCGAACTCTGGTCAGAGCGCATTTATTGCGTAATCGATGCCAATGGGCTCATGCTTGGCTCACTCGCTTCGACGGAACAATATTTTGCTCGCGCGTCTTACAATGATGTTTAGGGAAGAGATTGAGTGATTGAATCACAATGATTAATATTGAGATCGCCGATCGAGGTGTGCCACGTGTCGTTAAGAGTACGTGTGGATTTGAGAACGACTATTTAGAGAAACTTTTACAAATTATTTAAAGATCGAGGTTAAACTACTATTAGGATACGGTAGTCGTCGTTCAATTGATTAATGCAGCTCGAACGTACTTTCCATTTAGTATCACTACTACTGCTACTACTGTTACTACTGCTACTACTGCTACTACTGCTACTACTGCTACTACTGCTACTACTGCTGCTACTACTACCACTACTACTACTACTACTACTACTACTACTACTACTACTACTACTACTACTACTACTACTACTACTACTACTACTACTACTACTACTACTACTACTACTACTACTACTACTACTACTACTACTACTACTACTACTACTACTACTACTACTACTACTACTACTACTACTACTACTACTACTACTACTACTACTACTACTACTACTACTACTACTACTACTACTACTACTACTACTACTACTACTACTACTACTACTACTACTACTACTACTACTACTACTACTACTACTACTACTACTACTACTACTACTACTACTACTACTACTACTACTACTACTACTACTACTACTAAAACTTATCAAAATGTCTGAATAATAAATCTGCTTTTATGCAACAATATATTATGATGATACTTTGGAAGCGAATACGAACATCGTTAAAACTGTGCAAAACTTCGCTCAACCGTTTTTAATTTTTCTTCTATCGACTATCGACTCCTATTCAAGCAAACATTCCCACGCTGTGGGATTAAAATTCAATTCTTGTCAGTTTTCATATAAGCTTCATCTAATGTGATAAATGTAGAACGTATCTTTATTATAATTTGACCTTCCAAATTGGCTAATTTTACAAGTATCTTAGAATACTAATTGAATGTTAGAATTTAACATGATCTCACGGTATAATGCATATAGAGAAAAAAAACTTATTCCTCAATAATAAGAACTATTTAATCAGAAGGCAAAAATTTCACTTTCGAAACTTACGTCTTAGGTTCATTCGACGGATTGTAATAATTTTTCAAATGTAAAATATTTTTTAAATATTCTGCTTAACATCGGTTAAAAGAAAGTCACGAGATTTTATTACGAGGAATATACTGCGAGTGAAACTGAAAATTCCGAAAAAGACTTTTCATATTATTCAGCCATTGAATGAATCGCTTATTTAAGGCTATCAAACCTTTTTCCATGAAACCGAACAAATAAAAACAAAAAACAAAAAAAAAACAAAAAAAAAGGTAAAGAAAAATTAATAAAAAATTAAACAAAAAATTAAAATCCAAAAAAAATGAGAATACGATAATGTATGACTCTAGTCGACAATATCGAAGAAAATTTTTTTAGTCTATATATAAAATAGATTTATTTTGGCATTTATTATTCGCCTAACAAACTGTGTTCATTGTCTTATCGATGCTGAATAAGCAGTTACAATAATAGCCGGAAAAATTTGCAATTAATATGCTTAGTCATTTCATAGAGGCGAAATATCAAGCGCTGTTTTATACGAACGTAAGCATGAAAAAAATATATTAAAAAATACACTAAAGGGACATTAACATAAGATAAAGTCGGTTCGTCACGTTAAACTTATCAAGAGGAAGTGGAAGTATTTTTCGATTCTTAAAAAGTCGATGTTCGCTGATATCCGCTGTTACATTGCAGGCTTATGCCATTCTTTCCTCTCGTAGTCACCCCCCCCCCCCCCCCCCCCCAAACCCCACCCCCCCCCCCCGCCCCC